TATAGATGGGAGTTCTATAAGAGTTACTAAGGGGGATAGTAGGAGTTTTACAGTAGACTATGGCTCATATTTTGTCCCTCAACCCTTGGGCCCAAGCCCTGAACCTCACATACGTGCTGACCTGGCCACTCCCATATCATTTGGCAGTTTGGTGCGCTAGTCTTCTATTTCCCTACACCCTAAACTCTTTGATGTTCAGGCTACTCCACAGTGCTATGCCCGCCTGGCGTATCACTTCCCAGACCTGTCGGAGGCACACTGCGGAAATGAGAGATCTCTTCCTCGTTTAGGGTTCAGATGTTAGGGAAACACCTCCGCGCCCCAAATTTGAAATACGCCCCGTTGTGCAGTAGATTGGAATGCCAGAATTGAGGTTTTCAGGGGATGCTGGGAGAAGAGTCATGCAGTGAACAGGGATGGCAGGATTTCCGCTGTCAAGTAAGATTATGTGAAACAGGATCCGTTAACCTCAACGAAGACACTCAAGCAATGATTGCGGCCTGGGACCCTAAGTCATCCTAAGCCCTTTCATCCCCTCTCTGATCTTCGACCTCCCCACTCCCTAATCATCAACCCCCGAGATGGTAACATTATACAATCTGGTTCGGATTTGTCTATTCGAGGAAGGGGGTTTCAATTCTGAGGATGATGGGATGAACCCCATAGTCCCCATACATAGGCTTAGTTTTCATTTCATTTTCCTTTTCATGTTCCTTCTGATTCTCACTTTGATTCTCCATATTACAACAGTAATCCCGAAATAGAGAAAGCAAATGCTATATCATGAGCCTTCATGTAAGCCGCTCCAAACCCCTGGCCCCCAAAGCTCGAGGCCACCCTGGCAGATCATGTGCGGTGGTACAGCGACCATCAGGCTCGACAGGCGCGATTTGAGGGGCTTCAGCGTGGGGCTTAGGGGTTAAGGGACGCTCTTGGTGTAGGGTCTAGGGTTTAAGGGTGTTTAGAGTTTAGGGTTTGGGTGCTGTTTTTTGGGGTACAGGGTTTTTCTTGAGGGAAGACAGGTAGAATTGCTTTCTGTGCCTTTGGGTGGGGGTGTAAAGAGCACCACCAGAAGGCATAGGTCTTCGAAGCTCAAGTTTCTTGAGGAAGTTCCACCAAAAAATCACGAGTGTCTTACGTAGGCATGCCCGATCTTTGTTTAAGAATTGGAAGACTTTGTTTCGCGCGATGCGGAGCCTGTAAGTAGATTCAGGGGGTCGCGCTCTCCTTCTGAATATGGTAGTTTATGGTAGTTTCCAAATTTAAGGGGACCCCAGTATAGACCCTAACGTATTATAATCCTTATCATGGGGACACCCCAAAAGGTACCCCTAATTTTGGGAAACCCCCGTATCTATTTGTCGGTCTGCTTTCTGAAGGGGAAGTGGTCATTTGCCTGCCTCGTGACCTTGTTGTTTTCTATTTTTCCTACCACCATCACCACCACCCTCCCACCCTGCAACTATCTTATCTGTGGTAAAGTGTTGTTCTTTTAGTTATTGCTACTACCACTCCTCCTGCTCCTCCTGCCACTTCTGCTGCTCCTAGTCTGAACCCAAACTCGTAAAAATGCTGCCGCTGCCGCAATTCCCACTACTGGCCTCAAGATAGGCCATTCTCAAGATTATCCGCTTTTGTGGCACCATATTATGCTAATAGGGTATATATTGGTGTTATATTGGGATGCTGGAAAGAAAATGGAAGCTACTATAATACAACAGGGGTACATATTGTGGTTATATTTGGATAATGAAAAACAAAATGGAAGCTACTATAATAGAATGGGGGTATAGTACGCGACCTGGTATTTAGAGGCAACCAAAAAGCCTTGGATCGAAGGCCAGAAGGCGCTTGCTCCTGGTGCGTTGGCGCGAGCGTCGGTCCACGTTGCTCAGCCAAGTCACTTGGCAACATAGTATGGCGCGTCAGTTCAGGGCTGGGGGTTGAGATTGAAGGGCTTGCGGCATGCTTTTTATGGTATCGCGGTTTACAGATCAGACTTCATGATCTCAGGCCGAAGGTTAGGCTCTCTGATTTCGGGCTTCAGGATGTACGGTAGCTAAGATTTCAGAATTAAAGTTCAGGTCTTTTTATTGATTTCTACATACCGGTTACATGGGACCAAGCCATCTACAGAGATTGGCCTTTCCTAACCGTTTTGTGCACCAGAACAGCAACATCTAATTCTTATGAAAGCTCCATAGCAACTAATTCCCGGCGGTTTTTGGATTTTCCAACAAAGCTTTTTGTGCTGTCTTTAAGGACGCTCTACATGTGTTGCAAACTGCTGATCGGCCACTACCCTTCTCCAAGCAAGCACGGAGTCCTCTTTGAAGAGCACCACACCCGAAACCCCAAGCGGCTTTTGGTACACGGATTTACGTGTGTTTGGGTAGTTTATTTTGAGACCAAAGGTAACGTAAGGCCATCCCTTTGCGTTTTAGGGCTTAGGTGTAGGGTTTAGGGTTTAGGGTTTAGGGTTTAGGATTAGGGTATAGGGTATACGGTTAGGGACGTCAATCCTTGGGAATTTTTTAGGGTTTAGGGGCTAGGGTTTAGGCATTAGTGCCAGGCGTGAGCCTGCAAGCCTATGATCCAGACTACTGCCACTATTAGGCGAATGCTGGATGAAACTGCCATAACTATTCGCGACTTATGCTTCCCATATTTAGTGACTAGAAGGGAGAATGGTGATAATATTAGGGTCATTTTTAATCCTATTATGCCACTACTACAGGGTTACCAGGTGGTGATCCACACATATTCCCCCTTAAGTAGATAGAATATGGCTTTGGGTGTATTATAATAAGATCCCATATTCTATCTACTTAAGGGGGATTATAAATATTGTTTAGATCATTTGGGCTTCTACAGGAGAATACAGGAGACATCAAGCCGGACAGGCCAGCCAGAGCCGAAACGAAACTCCGGTTCGCGCCCGGGCCTCTGCCTTTACTCTACTGGTGCTTATTGTAAGGTTTAGGGTTTCGGGTTTAGAGTTGTGGGGCTTAGTTTTGGGGTGCAGGGTTTGGGGCTTTAGGATTTAGGGTGAAGGAGCGGGGGAGCGGACACTGGAAGCTACACCACTGGGTAGTGTTTAAGAGGGACGGAGCTGCGAACAGTGAACGGAAGAGAACATGGAAGTTATTCTTTCGGGCTTCGGGCATGAGTTTAGGTGTATGGGTGAGTGGGGAAGTGGACCTATAATGGAGAACAAAACGGAGAATGCAGTGGAAACCGAGATTGAAAATGATTTATCGCCTTTAAAGAGAGTGGATCTTCATAACTATCCCTTTTCAATCCTCCCCATAAGTATATACTTAATCATCGTGAGTCCCCCACTCCCCATAAAGCACTAGTTAGCATCTGCGCGTCCTTTCGCAGCACTGTATACGAGGGATGTTGGGGTATGGGGATTGGGGGGTTGGGGGGTTCAGGGTTTGGGTGTTGAGGGTTGAGGCCTTAAGGTAGGGTTTTGCCCCATAGAACTGCACAGATTCCGAATACAATCTCCCTACAATCCCCGTGTTGGATCGGGTTTTGGTTCTTGTAGTTTTTGCGAGTGTATATAGTGTTCCTGAGGAAAAAAAGTTTGAAACACGTGAGGGGCTCCAGCGTGGATCCATGAATCCCAAAGCGTACTCGCATCAGATTTCCATCTGGTAGTGCAAGTGGTGGTGCGGGTGCTGGTGCAGGTGGCGGAGCGGCTGGTGGTGCGAGTGGTGGGGCGGCGGCAGTGGCGGCGGCGGGGTGGCCGTGGTGGGGCAGTGATGGTGGTGCTCGAAGGTCGAAGTCGTAGGAGGACTTGAAAGAGGATCGGCTGAACATTCATCAGAATCTCGAGAACCAAAGCTTGCTCACAACCAGTCCTAGCCAGGAAAAACACTGGATCCCGGAAAGTGGAGATCAACCAACAGCACTCAAGGAGCCTCAAACCTCTCAGTCCTAAATCCATTTCCTACACACCTTATTAATTAAGCCCCAAACCCAAGTTCTGATCTACACCCTAAGCCCATCCCGAAGTATAGCCCCCAAAGCCACCCCATAGGTTCAGTGGCACCTGCAAACCCTAAGCCCTGAAACGCTACCTCCTCCTACTAGTACTGGGTAGTGGCAGGGGTAATGCACTAGTAAAATTCGTCGTTGTCGTTGTCGAGGACGTGGTGGTGGCGGTGGTATTCGTCGTGGTGGTGCTCTGCGTCGTCCTCGTCGTGGTCGTCGTCATGGTCGTCTTTGTGGTGGTCGTTGTGATCGTCGTCGTGGTCTTCGTCGTGGTCGTCGTGGTGGCCATCGTCGTCGTTGTCGTGGTCGTGGTGGTCGTGGCGGTCATGGTCGTGGTCGTGGTCATGGCCGTGGTCGTCTCGAGGTCGTGGTCGTCTCGTGGTCGTGGTGGTGGTGGTGGTGGTGGTGGTGGTGGTGGTGGTGGTAGTTGTGGTCGTCGTCGTCGTCGTCGTCGTCGTCGTCGTCGTCGTCGTCGTTCTCGTTGTTCGTTGTTGGTCGTCGTCGTAGTATTATAGTAGTCAACAGTAGTCGTCGTAGTAGTCGTAGCAGTAGCTGTAGTGGTGGTAGTGCTGGTGCTGCTGCTGCTGCTGCGCTGCTTTTGCTTTGGCGGTTAACAGTACCTGCACATTTTCCCTTTGGAAGCCTTGCTTGACTGATGCGGGAGTTTGGATTAATGATTTGTAGCCCTAATCTTCTGGGGGTCAAGTGGTCGAAGCGGTTTAGGCTCTAGGGAAACACTGCGAAATTTACTTTTTTGGGCGTGAAAAGCCTCTATTGCCAGACTTTCTTTAGGTGCTATCACAAAACTTTGGTTCAAGCGTGGCAGCTTTGATAAACTTTTACCACGCTATTTCTGCATTTAGCAGATCTTCTGTCATTGTTAAGTTTACTTGCCAGAACATGTTTCTTTCTGGCAACAAGCAAGCAAATGTGCTACACGATTGTAGAAGATTCACCAACAAAGACTGCATGGCGTGTCCTGAGTCTGCTACAGCTGAATGTCCATCACTGTGGACGTGAGCATCTTGAGTGGCAGGAAAACTTCTGTGAAAGCTGACTTGGACTCAACTGCCCAAGCCCTGAAGCGAAGCGCACAGACTGCCTTGGGTGTAGGCAACAGCCAGCTCTTGGACTCATCAGGTAGTGTTTTGCATGAGCAGTCTACCCTCAAGAAATTCAAGCTGCAGACCGGGGATTCGCTGACCTTGTACATCCACAAGGTTCAACTATGCGGCACAAAGTCCATCTTCCTTGAGGTACGCAGTGATTTTGTGGCTGCCTTGGGCGATGGATCCGTCAAAATCTGGGGGGGCCTGTGGCATGATGCCACCAGTGCCGCGCATGATCAGCTAAGAAACGTGCTGCAGGTCCAAGCCTCTGAACAAGCTTTCGCAATCATCCTGGCTGATGGATCCGTCGCAACCAGGGGCGACAAAGATTGTGGTGGCGACAGCAGTGCTGTGCAAGATGAGCTGAAGGACGTGCAACACATCCAAGCCACTTTCGGTGCTTTTGCTGCGATCCTTGGCGATGGAAGCGTCGTGACCTGGGGAGATGCAGAGGATGGTGGCGACAGCAATGCTGTACAAAATCAGCTGAAGAACGTGCAGCGGATCCAAGCCACTGATCACGCATTTGCTTCAATTCTGGGCGATGGATCTGTTGTGACCTGGGGCGATGAAAGCCATGGTGGCAACAGCAGTGCAGTGCAAGATAAGCTGAAGAAAGTCCAGCAGATTCAAGCATCTTCCTTTGCCTTTGCCGCGATCCTTGACGATGGAAGCGTCGTGACCTGGGGCGAGGCTACACACGGTGGCAACAGCAGTGCTGTACAAGACCAACTGAAGAACGTGCGGCAGATCCAACGTACTTTTGCAGCCTTTGCTGCAATATTGAGCGACGGATCTGTTGTGACCTGGGGCAGTGAGGACCATGGTGGCGACAGCAGTGCAGTGCAAGACGAGCTGAGGAACATGTAGCAGACCCAAGCCACTGCATGGTGGGACTTAGGAAGTTGCTGAATAGACGTAATTTTACATGCATTTTAAGGGTTATTAAACTACTCGCAGCGAGCCTGGGCAACGGATCTGTCATGACCGGGGGCGATTCGACGCATTCTGGCGGCATAGTGCTGTGTAAGAGAAGCGGAAGGGGCATGCAACAGATCTAATCTATTTTCTGCGTTCACGGCGATGGTGCTGACAGTCGTGCATCGCCAGGGTCGGCGTGATATCGAGCGAATGACCATTGTGCAACAGATCTGCTGTAGGAACATGCCCACGAGCTGCTACGGATTCCCGTTTCTTCAGGACGTACTACCCCAAACCGCACAACCTGATATGGAAGAGTTGTCCTGATGCCTTAACTATGCTACTGAGTGCATCATGTTAGAAATCACTGCATGGGTCTATCTAAGGGGCCCAAGTCATCAGGACCCTGCTATCTTCGGGCAGTTTTTCTGAAATGCTTACATGGTAGTTTCCGAAGATAGGGCAACTCCTGAAAACGTATTGGAACCCTCAAAGGGGGCCGCAAGCTTCCGGAACCCGGCTTTTGAAAACCATGTCCCGGCCATCTCCTCAACAGAAAGGATTAGGGCAAGATGAACCATGATGTTGTCAGGAAGTGCTGTTTTCCTCAGAAACCTTAACTCTCTTCCTAGTTGGCGAGAATGCTGCCTTCTTCAGCCTTCCTAAACCCGCAGCCTCTTCGGTTTGAACACCAACCCTTTTGAGGTGTTGCTAGTGGCTCTGGGTTTAGGGTACTCGTCCAGTAAACGCATTATGCAGAAAAGGCCATGGGCCCCAAACCCTACCATAAGCCCTGACACGGAACCCGAAGCCCTAAACTCGAAACCATGAATTTTCGAGAGCTCCGGTAGGTGTAGTGCTAGTCCAAAAGCACAGTTGTTGTGACCCAAGCCGATTTGCCTAAAGATTTTCTTCGGTTTTGGTGCTGGTCCAAAACCACAGCTGTTATCACCACACTCACAACAGGTGCGTAAGCGAGGTGTTTCTAATTTTTTCCCGCTCTGATACCAAACAGCTTTGTGCTCAAGAATTTCTTTTTTCGTGGTCACCACCACCCGCGCCATTGCCACCGCCGCCGCCGCCGCTGCCTCCGCTGCCGCCCCCGCCGCCCCCGCCGCCCCCGCCACCCAGCCGCCCACCACCCCCGCTGCCCCCGCACGCGATAATAAAAACTACTGTTCTTGAAATCTGAACTTTCAATCCCCAACCCAAGGCTTAAACCTTTCGTCGCAAACCCTCCTGAAACACGCAACCCCAAACCTCGAGCCCTTGACCCCTGGCCCCAGAATCCTAGCCCTTAGCCGCCCTAAACTTGCCGGTTCTTAGTAAGGAACACTGGAATACTGCATAGTATATTATATAGGGATTATATTTCCTCACTTCCTATTAAGAACAAATAAGTAAATCTCAAGCAGTCAAACCCGAAGTCCGAAGCCCTAAACTTTACATAAACCCTAAGCCCCAAAACCTTGAACCCTCAACCCTCAACCCCAAACCCTGAACCCTAAACCCGTCAGCGTGCTTCAGGAACCACGCGACCGGAGCCGCGATGAGCAGCGACGTCGAGTCTGGGGCCAGGTTAGGGATGAATTTATAGGGGCTTAGGCAGGGGCTTAGGGTCTAGGATTTAGGATGATTTTGGCTTTAGGGGTTTAGGGTTTAGGGATTTGGGGTTTAGGGATGTAGGGCTTAGGGGTTTAGGGTTTAGGGGTTTAGGGTCTAGCTTTTAGTTATGAGGGCTTAGTGTTTGGGAGCGAGAGGGTTTTGGGTTGCGAAGGTTGAGAGCGTTGCGAGGGTTCAGAGGGTTGCAAGGTTGAGAGGGTTAAGGGGAGTAGGGTTTTGGGAATTAGTTTTTTGTTTGTAATTTCATTTTTCGTGAGAATTTAGTGGGTCGCCAAATACTGCCCTCCCGTGTAATCCTGAGATCCTGCTCTGGTTTAGGGTTTAAAGGTTTAGGGTTCAGGACTTAGGTTTTGGGGGAGGGAGGAAACAAGAAAAGCTGTATCTCTCTTGAATCCTGCATTGGAAAACCAGGAATTCCAGGAACCCTTACCGAGCTTATCTATCCCAAGCCCTCTTTGGTAGTTTCCCTAAATAGGGGGACCTTAACATGGACCCCAGTACAGTATAATCCTTGTTATGGGGACCTCCCCAAAAAACACACCTGCAGGAAACTTTGGTGCAGAGCCTTCGGCAAGACAGCGGCCCTTCAGATAGCCCCCTCTTTCCATTTATTTCCCGTATAAAAGCGTATGAGCTACAGTCTAAACTCCTTAAAGGGTGCTATGTAAGGGACTATATAGGGGAGTCGTATTGGGGTTACTAAGGGGGATACTAGGAGTTTAGACTATAACCCTATAATCCCCTATTTCATTTTCCTTTTGATTCTCCGTTATTGGGGAATACTAGGAGTTTAGACCCTAAGCCCTAAACCCTAAACCCTATACTATAGCTCATATCTTAAGGTTCTTAGGCACCAGACGGTGGAACCCGCAATGTTCCTGTCATGGGTTCAACTAGTACCCCCCCTCTATACTACCCCCCCTAGGGCCCCCCCTTAATTAATTTTAATTAGGCTTAACTATCCCTAAATAACCTTAATTAAGGGGGGCCTAACCCTAAACCCTAAACTATAGAGGGGGTACTAGTTGAACCCATGTTCCTGAGGTTCAGGCTTGGCGCGAGGCCAGGGAAGAGGAGGAGCCATGTGGTTCTTGGGAGCTTAGGGTTTAGAGTTTAGGGTTTAGAGTTTAGGGTTTAGGGGTTTAGGGTTTAGAGTTTAGGGTCTAGGGTTCATTTTTAGATTGGAGATTTGCAGGCTCTCGGTTGAGGAAGATGGTGTTCAGGGTGTAGGGGTTTGAGCAAGGATCTTCCCTGGCAACGGCTTTCTTGGTACTTTCCCCAAAGTAGGGTACCCCAATATGGATCCTCAGATACTATAATCCTTATTGTTGGGAACCCCAAAAGGGTACCCCTAGTTTTGGGAAACCCCGTCTTGTCTTTTCTCTGGGGCCTTTGCAGGGGTCAGGTAGCAGTTTAGGCATTCTGCAGGGTCGCAGGTTTGGGGTTGAGTGTCCCGTTTCTCTTTGCTCTACGAGAAAGATACGCTTAATGGAGATTTCCTCCCCTACATATGGGTGGTTGTCAAAATTATGGTCCCTTTTTGGGTACCCTAGATATTAGGTGCCGTATTATAATAGGAACCCAAAAAGGGGACTATAATTTTGACAACCATCCATATGTCTTGTGTCGGTCCAGGAGTTGTCTGGGGTCTGTCTTGCGAGTTCGAGTGGATTATTAAGGGGACATGAAACATTTTTAACGCACTAGGCTCACCCATCCTAATGGGAACCCATGCCCATTCGTTACACGGGAAATATTAACCCTTATAATCTCCTATACAACCCTGGTTTCCATTCATTGTCCTTTTCATTTATTATGCTATGCCACTATGTAATCGCTTCCCCTAACATTAAACGACGTATCCCCTCCCCTCCGTAATATTAAATATTCCGGGCACCGAAAAATCGTTCAATAGTAGAGGGATATATTCATTGAAACAATTAGACAGGACTGCCTTTAAAATCCTGTTAACTTCTACGGAGAATGAAATACTTGATTCATCAAACTAATCAAGCATTTAATGAAATAGATTTAAGTAACCAAATTACCTACTAGGTTAATTAGTTATTCAATGAATTGGTAAAGTCCAGGGAAACTGATTCACTAATTAATCAATTACATCCCCATAATGACCTCAACACACCCCCTAATTCATTATTAGGTGGCCCCTTTTAAAAAAGTAGTCTTTCCCCTTTAAATGTAGTCTTCAGGATTTTTAGGCCCCTGCATGTATTTTTTAATATTTGGGGTAGGCTTTAATATTAGGGGGAAGGGATTACTAGGCTCACCCATCCTGCTTATGCCCCCTGCGGCACGAGCTTCCTGAGCTCCTCCACATTTGCTGACAATTGCTTCCCTTCTTGTTCAGATTAAGCTGCCATGGTGCTTGATTTTGCCACGCCACATGATAGCTTTGATCCACCGTGATGTGAGTGTGGCACTTGTTGCAATTGATCGGGTTGATCAGGTGTAAGGACCATCAAGCAAGCCCTAGAATTGCAGTTTCCTTGCCAAGTTAATGTAGGGACCGATTGAATTAACACGGTTTTGGGTATGTTGTGCGATAAGTGTGAAAGGTTTATATGGGCAGAAGAATAGTATCTATACAGGCTTCTACGGCAGGCTCCCCGTGCTACATCTTCATTGTTGCCTTTTTCCATCAGTAGGATGCAAGAATGTTCCCGTAAGCCCCTTGTTCTTGCAGAGCCCTCTTAATCCCGTTTTTGCCGTTACACATCCATGGATCTTCGCAGGCACCTGCATTGTGGCGCAGACCTACACTGAAACCCCGAAACCTTCCCTTTGAACCCCAAACTTTTCCAAATAGATGGAGCGCTTAACGTTTAGGGTTGAGGGTTTAGGGTTCCCATATAACCGTGTTAATCTGTTGGGCAAAGTAGTGTGACCTCACCCAACCTCACCCCAAACGGTGTTTTACATCATCACATGTAAGAGGGGGGCACTGGTCTGTGGTAGGCCCTGTTGGTCTTCCGCGTTTCTCTGGACGCTGAACCTTACACGCTATGTCCTAAACCCTATACCCTACACCCCAAACCCTATACCTTATACTTCAAGCCCTGAACCCTAAACCCTCGGACCCTTAAACCGAATATCGCAAACCCTATACGCTATACCCTAGACCCTAAGCCCAATACCCCAATACCCTATACTCAAAACCCTATATCTTAAACCCTAAACCCTGTCATGCGCGTAGGAGAGCCGGCTGGCTGCAGCACAACGGCAGATCGAGTTGGAACAGGACGGCCTACTCCCTGATTTGGGTTGCTGTTAAAGAACTTGAACTAAATTGCGGTAAGGCGACGCCT